ATACATAATGTAAAAAAATTTAAGTTTTTTTATTCCAATATTTTAATAATATTCGAGTATTTTTTCAAATAATTTTTAATTTTTATAGAAGGTTACTTTCATAAAACAAACCATAAAATTCAAAGAATGATATCGTTGAAAAACTGAATGATATATAAAAGATTGTGACGAGAAAATCCAGGTAACAAGAAATTTTGCATCATATTTTCAAAAATTCTAAATATGAACTTTTCCAGATATAATTCTTCTTTTAATAGCAGTGGCAATTAATCGTCGCAGATCGATGAAGAGATCCATTCGATAAAGAGATAGAACACGCTTCAAAAAAATTCCAAAAGACAAGTGGCGAGATTCATTGCTGCGATCTAATTGAATCATACATTACGGAAAATAAGAACGGTTAAAGTTGTTCAATTATATAATAGTTGAATATTACAATATTTCTCAATGTTTAAATTAATAATTAATTTTAATATACTTTATACTAGTGGTTAGGATTTAGTTGTAAATCTTTTGGCCCAAGTTTAATCTTTACATTCTAATTACGATTCGCTACAGGGAAGCATGGATATGGTGTGCAATGTTTCATCTGGGAAATAGCTGTATCATGAAAATGCTCGGACACGAACTAACCAATTTTCGATATAGATTCACGTGTAAGCGAAACAGAATCGGTGATTAGTCAACTGTGTCCTTCCATTAAAAATTACAGTATAGATATATTTGGAAACATTTTTATTCGTGCGCGTGGCTGGATTTGCTCATTGGAGGTCAAAGTGTCAGCCAAGTATCAACTCCTGTTGGCAAATTATCAAAATGCGAACAATATATAAGGAAGACGATAAGCATCAGCACGAAAATCGAGCCAAAAACTGCAACTAAATCCGATCACTGCAATAACGAACATTAAATTGTTATCATTTCCAGTAATACGATATTATTAATAGAGAATTATTATAAAACTTTGTTCTTATTATTGTAAAATATGTGATAATTGAAATGTCGCAATTATTTCAAAGTCGCTTTTAAGACTACAGTTACACTAGAAATTTCGACTTTTCATGGCAGCCCCATGGATTCTCCAAATAATCCAAATAACTTCAATATTGAAATTAATCTGAGTAAATTTCCAGAATCTCGATCCTCATTCTATATTATTATTCCCTCCAATTCGTATACATGATTCAATTGCAACGATTAATCGCTACTACAATCGGCCTGAAGTCCAAGGGAAGTGTGTACCTACATATCTATAGGCAAGCTTTCGGTTAATTTCGTGCAGATAAATAGAGAGAGCACTATGTAAGTTTCGCACGCGCGCTCTCGTATGAATATAATATGTATGTATATTTGTAGGTATATGTATATATGTGTATATCGTGCATTATGTATGTATGTGTATGTATGTACGTATGTATAACGTGCACCATTCTATATTGGATAAGTTGGCCAAAATACAGAGATATTTTGATGTAGATTGTGGAAGCGAGATAGCCGATGATTTGTTACCACGATGAATTTCACATGAAGTTAATGTTTTCGATTAAAATGACGCTCATTCTGTGAAAAATCAAGGACATCGTTTGACTCACGTATTTTTGTGTTTTGCATCAGATTTAGAAGACTGTAGAGACGTTATAATGTCTCTGATTATGAAAAGGAAGTATTCTTTTAGCTTATCATCTTGAAGTCCTTGGGAAATATCTATAATAGTGGCAAATAGTCGGCAAATAAGAAAGAAGGAAACACAGTAAAAGATTGATGAATAAGATTTGATTAATAAAAATAGCCTTAAGTTAAGGACTTTTGATAAAAAATGATAATCTAAAATTAAAAAACATTTTTAATTTTCTTTTTTGTCTTTTGTAGGTAGTTTTAGCTAGATAAATATTCTAGATGGTGTTACTTATATATATTGTTACTAGAAGAACTGAATTACATTACTAAAAGTTCATTATTAGCTAGAAAAACAGCGGTAATGTATTATGCAGCGGTAATGTATTATAACTTTATTAACTCATGACTAATGGGCCATTAGATTCAATTTTTACTAAAGTAGCACTGCTAATTTCAATTTGTAGAAATGGATTAAAAATAACAAATAAATATTGTTAACGATTTAAATAAGTTTTAATGTCAAATAAAATCTTGCAGCTCAAGTTGTTGTTCCTTCGAATTCTGAACTATCGAATTACGTTCTATAGAAATATCTTGTCAGAAAGTTTTGTTAGAAAGGATCGTAAAATTTCACACACTACATATGTTTACATTATGTTTATATGTATATTTATTAAAAAATGTGTTTGAGTCACCATTAATATCTCATAAACGACTGTGTTAGTCGATTCGTGAAAGGCAATATTTGATGAATATGGAAATGAAGTTGAGAGTACTACATTTAACGCCATGACAGTACTTGATAAGTGAATATACTCTGTAAAACAGAATATGAAATATAATAAAAAATATCGTTATCTTGAATTTTGACGTATAGATAAATTTTAGAAACACTGGATTGAAGCGCGAAGAAAGATTTAGCTTTATGAGTAGAAAACAAAAGTACTACTGAAAAGTTTAAATATTTGTTCATATTATGCGTATATAAATGATATATGATATATTACATATATGTATATGCTTTGCTTTTTCAGTAATAATATTATTGCAATCACGTTGATACGTATCATAATATATACATATACGCCTTGAATTCCATTATTTTACGAACATTATTCTGATTAACCACAACTCTCGCCGGAATGTTAATAAGTTTGGTATACTTATAGGCATGCTTCACGCGATTTTCGTGCAGGCAAATGGAAGTTTATCATGATTCACAAAGATTGTCGAAGTAAGATATGCAAAGTGAAATATTTTACATTGTTCATGCCTTAAATGTCAGCGGTTGCTCGTCAATTTTATGAGGCATTTAAAAAATTAAAACTTTATCTGATAAACAGGATTCGTTGATAAAATTTAGAAGCGAAATATGGAAATATACATTTTTATTTATCGCAAACAAATTAAAATCAAATTTATAAAAACAAATTCATGCAAATAATTAAGCTTTTCATTTCCGGTTCTATCGGGCGACATGAAAAGTTCGATCAATCGATAATGATTGCGATTTCATAATGATCATCAATGATTATTTTCAAACTGAAATATATAATAACTATTATATTATGTAAAAGTTAAAGCGCGATACTAGAAAAGCATCGCGTTAAGAGAATGCGAGCATTGAAAAGGAAAAAGAATAAAATCGCTAAAAAAAATGTAATTTTTTGCGGCGTCTAGTTTATCAATAATTTACCTATCTATCGACAGTAAATCGTTCGAAAAGTCCTATCGGTTTTGCATAAACTCGTTAAAACTTTTTTACAGGATTGAAAGAAGCTTAATGTTTTTTGAGTCCTCAAATATTTGAACTTTTTATTCTAGGAGCGTTCAAATATCTAAATTGTGATATCTAAAGGGACTATGAACAAACCGAGAGAACTTCCACAAAAACTTGATGCTTCCAATTAACTCTTCTCACTGTTCAATATCTCTCTCCAGGAATAGAAATTCTATAAGTAATTATACGTTTGCGATTATGTCTAATATCCCATTTAAAATATGTAATACATATAAATAATTATGCAAAGTATTATAAATACGTATTTTTATAATACATATATACAAAGTCTCGGGTAATAAGTGGAACCGTTCTTGTAAGAAGGTGCAGAAATTAAGCCGAATGGAAAAGTCATGTACCGTTTCGTAATTTTCAAAATAATTAATGAGAAATGAACTAATAAAGATCTGTGAGCGCGCGTATGTCCGCGCGACAGCAGTAAATAAGCACATGACTATGTGCAAATTAGCGTGTGCGTATGTTCATGTGCTCATTAAATTTCGAAACGATAAAGTCAATTTGACCCATATTTACAATTTAAGAATTAATTATCGTTGGAAATCAACTATTAAATATTGTAGATTAATCGTTAAATAAACAATAATATTTATAATTAGTAAATACGCAATCGTATAAAACGTACACTGTTAAATTTATAGTGTCAAATTTAACTTAACGTGAGTCGCCACTACTCCTACTAAATATATAGTTATTTTTTATCAAAATGATAGTTATTTGACATTATATCGTGTTAAATTGACACTGTATAGTGTTAAATATAACTATTGTTTTAGTATAAAATAACGATATAATTGAGTAGGAGCAGTGGCGATTTACGTTAAGTTAAATTTGACACTATAGATTTAACAGTGTATTAAGGAAATTTCTATCGAGACGCATGGTTAGTTACATACATCCTACTTTCTTCCTTGACAATTATATTTTTAATTATTAAATGTTTAAAAAATGTCCACAATAATCAAATAAATGCTAATAATTATGATTATATATATATATATATATAATTTGAAAACACAAATTTTATTTAAAAAGCGAGCAATCTTCACGCAAACATCTTTTTTCTGTTATTAATACAGTTCTGCATAATCATCGAGAATGGATTCATAAACATCCAAATAATGATAAATGATTGCAACTGGATTTTCAATAAAAGGAGGGAGCTTACATTCGTCGTTGAATTGCACGGATATACATTCATTCGCATATTTCCATTAATTAATTTCTCATTAATTTTATCCCATTATTGTAAAAATCGTAAAACAGTATAGTAAAACGGTACGAAACATCTTCTATTTAGCAGTTTAATTCGCTACTTGTTTACAGAAAATGTTACATTCATTACCAGAAACTCTGTGTATATACAAAACATAAATTTTAATAAATTTATACTTTGAGATAAATATTACGTTTAATGAAATTGACATTTAGCTACAAGCCTCTTTGTTAGCCAGCAAATTAATGGCAGATATAATAGCATCGGCGCAAGGAGAGGGGGAAGGGGGGGGAGTTTCTCCGGAGAGTGAGCGAAAACAAATCGAAATAAAACCTGGGCATTTGCGTAGCTCCGAGTCGTTTGTCTTACCTTCGCTGTTCTCATCCTCTGTTGACTTGGCCGATTGTAGCTTCGCGCTTGGTTGCTTCGCTGCAATCAAAATTCGCAGCTGGCACCGCGTTCTCTCTTTTGTTTTTCTCTTACTTTTCTTTCCCCCCTCCCCTCATCTTTCAATACTCATTTTTTGCTTGATCGATTGACTTTCCGTCGTAATTAATCCGCATAACCCTTCTTATCTCAAGACCGATAGAAAAATTCCAAAACTATTGCGTGCTTATCCATGTGTGTGCAACTATTGAAATTCATAGATTTTTTTCTCCCGAATGTCAAATTCTACTTTTGACTGTATCGCGAGATATCGATAACGAATTGAAGTAAAAGCGACGATTCATAGTTTTTTTTAATATATGAACAAAAAGAGGGCTAGATCATTATTTCCGTTGAAATTTTTTCAAAAGTCGACATATATGATACTTTTCTAAATTTCCAGTGATATCATGAATATATGAAGTGGTGGTATATCATAATAAATATCTAAATATAATAATATTTTCCATATGACAGAGAAATTTTTACAACTAACAAGGGAAGTGTTTCACAATTGTCCGAAACCGATTTGATTTTTTATGAAATATGTTGTTAACATATTTCATGGAGAATCAAATCCATTCCGGACAATTGTGAAACTTCCCTTGTAAGATTTGCACATGTACTATTGTTTCATAATCGTACAATGTAATTAAGTTTGATCCTAAATCTTCGTTCATTTTCGTTTGATAATATAAAAACTAAACAATCATGATGCCACTGGCGATACTACGGATGAATTAAATCTATCGATTCGCGTAAAAAAAAGAAGAAACGAAAGATCGCTTGTGAATAAAGATCACACGGATAGGGAGAACGGAGTTCAATCGTCCACAATGCATGTCGATTTATTTCATTTTTCAAGAGAGATCGGGGAATGAGCGCCGTTGACGAGATGAGAAAGTCAATGGCGCGGAATTTATTGCGGCCAAATTACCTTACGCGAAACGAGGTCGCGAAAGATTGTGCGAAATCGTGAACGATTAAATTCGAGCGACGACTAGCTGAGAAATCGACGATCGGTGGAAATCAAGGTGAAAATGGATTTTAACACGGTAATAATATTCGTAGTTATTGATGCTTTGTCAGAAATTCTATTATCTGCCTTTTTTAATTTACTTTTTAGATATTTCGTATTTTATAGATATTTTATATTTTCTAAACTATATATTCATTGTATATTATTAGCAACTTAAAAATTGCTATAGTAAATAATAATAATGAGGTAACTGAGATATATATATATATACTCGTATATAAACAAAAAGCTACAAATAACGTTTGTCTTTCCGATTCAATGTAAATTTAAGTAAACATGGACACTTCGAGTTGAATTAGCCGTCTGTTTAATATGAAGCAAATTTTGATCTCTGAATCAACTGTTGTCGTTGAAAGGCGCTTTGTGTTCTCAAAGATTCTCAAGATTCCTTGAATCATATGAATTCCAAACAAGAATTAGAGGTAATTCGTTACATTCATTAAATCCGTATTTGTATGCTTTAAATACTTATGGCAAAATTAAATGACTAAATATTGTAAATATATTACTAAATGTATCAATTATAAACGATTAAACACAGTATGCATCTTACGTTTATCATTATATTATAGAAATATAAAAAAAAATATTTTGGAACGGAAATTTTTATATGAATAACGTAGCTATCTGCGAATACAATTTTGAATACGGCCAAGAACCGCATTTTCGCGTTTAATCGCGCGTTACAAAGATACCCGATCGAGTGGAAACGAAGGGGATCCACCGATTCGATCGACAGCTGACGTCTGTTCTCGAAAAATGAGCCAGGAACGAATTTACGTTACCGGCAGGTAAAAATGCATATCTACTTTGACTTATAAGCGTTCACACAGAGACATCAGTAATAGGACAAAGTGAGAATAACATCGAGAGAACAGGTATATGACAATATGTATCGTAATGCGCTGCTCTAAAAATATATCATGACATACACAATATCGAAATATAGATAGGATTATCCCGCGATTTTAATTTGAATGACAGATTCTTGACGAATTTGAAATCGACTTTTTCATAACGATAATTTTGAAAAAATATTTACTTAATGTGACGTTTCAATTTTCAATACATATTTTTATAAACTAAATTTCAAATTGGAATTTTATTAACGCGAAGCTCATTTGAAATTAACTGAAGGATATAGTTCTGCAATATCTTGAGACTTATTATTTTGCAATGAATCTTATAACTGAATAATTTTAAGGAACCGCGGTACCTCAATAGTTTCTTTAAAAAAAGCAACTCTAAATTCATCAGATAGTCTGCCATTAAAATCGCGAATTATATAGGGCGCTGTCTATATATATGCGTGTATATATAAATATGTTACACAAAAAATAATGCATTGTATATATCGTAATAATATCGCGATAATAACGTGTATGAAATGAATGGGATGTGGAGAGCGAGTGCGTTAATAATAGTAATACGAATAAATAAAATCATTAAAGACACTCTTAAAATACGGAGAAAAAAAGTAAAAAGTTCTTTCCGCGAGTAGTTTGCTCTCGAGAGCGTGTATCGGCATGAATCTTTCCTTTTTCCAATTAAATAATGACTATGAAGTATTTTCATTAAAATTAAAAATAACTCACGTACGTATGTCTGTGTAAATCAATTTATTTACGCTCGAGTGACGTGAAAATTCTCTAATCGTATCAAGTCTAAGCAGTATAAGCGTATACAGACGTCCAATCTTCGTAGATTCCTTTCTTAATTTTTAAAAATATATCTTATACATTTATCAATTTATCAATGCACCTTTTTTCTTTTGGAAAATTATCCTTTAAACATAATCACTCCTAATAAATTTTAAAACTTTACATAAGAGAAAATTCACTGCTTATTTTGCGTATGAAGTATCACGTCACATCATAGCATGTGTATTAGTAAACTTTTTATGTTTTCTGCCGGCGAATAAGAAGATTAATGTTCGCTAAATATAATGAAAGTAAAAATACTATTCTGCTTAATTATCGCACTTACTCGACGGTGGCGGCTGCGGCGCGCGTCGCACAACTGTGTGCTCCTGATGCGGTCCTGTGTACTCGTGCCATGTGTACGTGCTCCTATATTCCGAATGAAGCTGCTGTAACATTAACACACAATTTGCTCTTAAAAATCACGATAAAAATACTCTATGAATGTATATAAATATAGATATATTTATATACTAGAATAATATATAGAATAATATAAAAAACTATTATACATTAATTTGATAATATTACGAATTTAATATCGTTCTAATCTAATATCGTTCTAATTTAATATCGTTTCTAATTGTAAATTTCTAACATATTACGTTTATAATATTAATCTTTGTTTTTTAATGTTTGGTATAACGGTATATTCACAGAATGTTCATAGAAAGCATAAAAGACTTTAGCATTTCAATTAAGAAACAATATTATTATAGAATAATTTAATTTAATAATTGCTAAATTGATAATACCTACTTTTGAAATTCTTTCGAAAATATTTTCTTTAGAGAGTTTGTCGGTTATCGCCGTATAATCTATTGCTAATTACTAAATTTATTAATTATAATAAATTTTAATTTATTTAATAACTTTAATAAATTAATAAAAAATGTAAATTAAAAATTTTTTTCATTATTATAATAACTAGCGATATAATTGAAGAAAAAACTAGGTGATTCCTTATGAAAAAATAAGTAAAAAATGTAGAATCAAATTTGTATAAATATTATAATTTCATAATTAATGTAATTTCATAAATAACTATAAATTTGATTCTACATTTTTTACTTATTTTTTCATAAGGAATCACCTAGTTTTTTCTTCAATTATATTACTAGTTCGGAGACAACATATATTTTTAGTATGGCCGTCATTCACTGTATCAATTAAAATATATTGCAAGGTTTCGGTAGATAAACGGATCGATGGTTAAGGCTTCCCTAATCTATTCGAGAAAATACCAAGTTCGTTATATGCTTCACGTTAAATGTAATTATTTTTATCCAAAGCATTAATAAATAGTGACGAAATATAATTAAATTCATCAAATTCTCATAAAAAAAGATTAACTACAATACAATAAATACAATTAAAACTTCCTCAAAGCTATTTATTTCTTATACTCGTTTTTTTTATGTATATTTGCACTAACTCTCTTCTCATCTTGAAGAATTTATTTTTTAATATTTAATTATTTCCAATAATTTTTATTCGTTTTCATACAAATGATAGAAAATTTAATTTTTAAGTAAGTAAAAAACCAACATTATGATGAGTGTTTGATAATGTAAAACAAATATAGATTTTCAAACAATAAACAGTATACGTTCTACCGTGAATCGCGCACAAACGACTATTGATTCTTCGACGTTTATTTATTAATGGCAATGTGGGACAACGTTAACCTTTATCGTAGATCGCCGCGCCCAGGCACTTCACATATTTCTTGTTTCCTCTTTTTTCAAAATCATAAAAAATAGAAAACTACAGAAGAAATCCGATACACTATTATTAGTTCGATCACTTAATTTTATAACATTGGATAGGCCAAAACGAAAGTACACAATATAATAATAAACTATTCAAAAATTATCTTTTCAAAAAAAGATAAAAAAGGCGTTAAGCCTTACATCAGTTGCAAATATAATACATTACTACATATACATACGAACGTTGTAAGAGCATTTTCTTATATAAAAATAAATTTAAAAACATATTTAATTTTAAGAGAAAAATATTAACGTGAGAAAATATTACAATATTTTTGTTTAAGGAGATTCTAAACATATTCGATCTAAAGATCGAACAGGTCACTCTATACACTACTACATCAATATCGCACGTACACACAACACGAAATTTTCACGCAACCTTTTCTCTTGTACTAAAGTTCTTAAGTTCTTAAGCTCATTTCTAAAAGCACAGTATTGTTCTTTCATGTAATCCCTATCCCGAACTAAGCTTGTTTTATACGTACAAAGTATAAAACTTTTATATAAAAGCAAATGTAATTACGAACACCAGAAATCGATAACAATTTTTATTCGTTTTTCATATAAAATCGTTTAGTCCAAACTGCGCTATTGTTTATACTTTAATTCCATAAAGGGATTTTTAAATCTGTAGACGTAATACATCTACGAAAAAATGGTATAAAAATTTTTTCGTTCGATCGTTAAAAATTACAAAGTTGCGTCAACGAAAATAAAATTTCACTATGTATATATAATTCACTGTATCTATTACATCATTCACTATATAATTCTTTCATTATTTGCTTTGATGTTAAAAAATATTATAAATAAAGTATGCGTGGTTTTCTAATATGACTATGAAAACAAGTAAGTCCTTAGAAAAATATGTAATATTCTGGGACACAAATATTTCCATAAAAAATTCTTAAAAACATAATCAGATGTATTTCATTGGATCAAAAGACGCAACCAAAAAAATTAAGTAATAACACAAAAAGTAAAAGATATCAAAAGATTTATCAAAAGGTATATAAAGATTTATAAAAAGATATTTATCATAAAAAACATGACGCTATTAGAATAGTAATTGATATAATAATTAATGTAATATATAATTACGGTTCATATATTTGGGATTCAGCAGTACTGGAATGTTTCAAGTTAACATCTCTGTGCTTCGAAATTGTAGTTCTGTTAGGAGTTCTGGATTATTTAGAACAAAAGGAAAAGTTCCAGAGTTCCATAGTTTTAGAAAAAGTTTCGTTCGATGTAATACACACAGCGCTGTATATATAAAACTTATTGGATAAAGAAAAATGAAATGATTGACTGTTAAAGTGATCTATAATTTTATTAAAAAGATTAAGAAAATAATTTAGGACTATTGTATTTATTTATTTCGGAGTTTATTTACTTGATTATTATACTTATTGTTAGTTTGGAATTTCTTTTTATTTGAATAAGTTAATTTTATTATTATGTTATTTACAAGGCGATTTCCAATGATATGGATTGATAATATAGAATCAGTAATTACCTATGTGCTATAATTTCACAAATTTGATTGAATGTAACGATTTTAAACAGCCAATCGGTGGATCACAAAAAATTCCTTTGCGAAAATTCATGCATATCATTTAGGAGCATGCGAGACTTGATCGTTAACTCATTCTTATGTCAGACTTATAGAAAGACATCGCATGCACGATGATAACAAATGTTCTTCAAGCATATTTTTTTATAAATTTGGATTGTGTTTTATATTTTTATTCATATTGCATAGAGAGTAAAAAGAAAAACACTTCTTATGCAATCGAAGCTATCAGTTGAGTCCATTATAAATTTAATCGTTCTAATTATTGAGATCCGATAATCATATCTCGACTCAATTAAGTGGCTGCGCATAAATTCTCTATCTTCTTTTCGCTGCCGCGCGTACACAACTGTGTTTCTTGATTGACCATGAATGGAGTAACGAAAGTACACGTGAAAATAAACTAAAAATTCATGATGATACAATTCTATCGAGTAGTCCGCAGCGTGTTCGAAAATTACGATACACGTCGATTAAATGGAAAACCGTTGATCGGAAAGGAAAGGTGGTACGATTCATAAACGAATTCTAACACGAACTCAAGACAATAGGACAATAAGCGCACAAAGTTCTTGCGACATTGCACGGCTTCTCGCAACACGTCGATTCCGTCCATTGAAATCATTAACAAGGCTCGCAAGTGATCGCGGTATAACGATGAGAAGTTAAATGGAAAAGCGAAACGCAAATAGATATGCCTAAAACCATCTGTAAAATTTTTAGATTCCTATTTTAATCATGTTTGGAATAGGTATATAACATTATGGAGAATTATGAATAAAATACTACATACGAAAGAGAAGATTAGATAGTAGGTAAATATGATACAAATTTCCTAGATTGCAAAGAAATTGAACATAATTTTGTGTCATTTGATATTTATTTTATTATAGATATTTATTTTATTTTATCATATTTGCTTCATTATTCCTTGATATCAAATATCCTTAATGTTTCTATTTAATATTTGATATTAAATTTTCCTTAATGAAAAAATCGAAGTCTATAAGGCTCATTGTCCACGATGCTAGAAATCGGTCCGAATTCTCGGATCGAGAAATGTAGAGCCAATCAACTTGCCGTAAAAACTGTAAGCTGATTGGCTACACATTTCTCGATCCGAGAACTCGGACTGAGTTCTAGCATCGTGGACATTGGGCTTAAACGAAGTCTATAATCCTCGAAAACAAACTGTTTTTAGTGATCATCTTCAAGAAAGATGATGATTAACAGGATCGCACCTTTTTTTTTATTTAATTTCAAGCGAACTTTCCTTTAAAATAACGAAATTCTCTTAAAATTTCAGTTCGTAACTTCAGTTACAAAGTTATATAACATTAAAGTTGGAAAGAGAGATGCGATAAGCAACTTCCCTCGGCATTTTCGCTAAAAGTTGTTTTTAGATCGAAGAAGCTATAGCCGAAACACGATCTGATGATTTTGAGATACTCTATACACACAGAACAGCTTTGCAGAAATTCTGTACTTCTAATTCAGATAGGATAGATGAGTAGAGAGCAGACAAGCGAGAGAACAGCTGTCATCGAGAACGATCTTCGTTAAAACTTCCCGACAGTTCTCTCTCGCATCACATGAGCCGTAATGTGTGTGTGTTTTCTATTTACTCCTATGTATTTCCCTCGTGACGTAGCCAG